CTTAAAAGTCTAACTATTAAAGCCTCGTGCTTTCCCATACACTCGCGTACATATACAGCATAGAGGGAGACATGATGAAGCAATTCCTGAAATGCATGCAAAAATACTTTCGTTCCCCATGTACCGTACTCCTACGGTTGAAAGACTCGGCATGGCCCTTGAGGTTCTCACCTGGCTTTGCTTCACTCAAATAACGATGCCGAGAGAGAGGGAGAGAGAGAGTTGTCTCAGGCAGCACACCAAAAGGGCCAGCGTTTGCTGTGAGTGGTTTGAGTTGGCTGGAGCGCCCTCAGTAGCACTCCAATATTGGATCAACATTGGGCAATTTGGGCGCATTGGATCATCGCGTAAGTCAAGTATTGGATCGATGATGGAATGGCAACATTATTAAGCCAAAACTTAGGAAATATTTGCTATATTGGCGAAGGTGCAGCCAATGTGCCCATTGGGTTCCCCATGCAGGTCCCTCAACGGCGCTAAGGCGGCAGCTAGCATTTGTCCTTTCTCTGGGCAATGCAACTATCCCAGGTAATTGAGTAATAAAGCTTTCAAAAAATGAAGCTAGAGTGCGAACTGTAACTGCTGTTTAAATTTTATCGGGGATTCACTCGTTATAACGCCTTGGCACTTTTCAAGCGGTTCTTTATCATTTCCACACTGTTGCATCACCTTCTATGAGCTCAAGGAGTTACGTAATCAACTTCGTCCAATTCGTCGGGTTCCTCTGAAGACAATTAGCACTTCCATGGTACCAGTATAACCCGGAACTTACCTTACTCCACTGCATTCCCTGGTGCACTCGCGGCCCTTGTAGTCTCTTATGACCTCGTAGTCGGATTTCGCGAAAGGCAGCAGCAGAAATTGAAGGACGAACCACATCAGGATGTGGAGTGTCATCTTTTTTAAACCCTTTAAATTATACAGAAAGGAACATATAATTTGTAAGTCCTGTTTATTGCAAAAAGATAGGGATTAATTTAAAAAGAATTATCTTTACATCATAATTATTAATTAAGTCCGAATAAATATTTCTTCCAGTCAGTATGTGATTTTGGAAGAAAACTGATGCTGGAAACAAGGGACTAATTTTAATTCCTTTACGACATAATATTTGATGTTTGAAAGTGCAATATGGATTTGTATGAACATAATATTTGATTATACAAATCCATATTGCACTTTAAGAAATTATGGAAGACTTGACTTGTTCCCCCCGAATAGAACCACCTCCTTATTTTTGTATTGATCCTACACTGTATTACTCCTGCTCTTTTTTTAAAATACCAGTTAGTTTTTCCAGGGTGGGAAATCAACTTTTTCCCAAAAAAACTATTTTTTTCTTAAAGCTCCATTTTACTGATCCTTTCACCGGGGGATCTCTATTGGTTTACTTCTTGTCTGCTCGCGCCGCTACCACAATTACGGGAGAACGCTTTGACAGATTTCGGCACCTGCATTTTGCTCGAGCACCGTCTTCCAGAGTCAGTTCCCGACGTCACTGAATGGCGACGGGAACTCTTGACTGCGCAACTTTTCTGCTTCGAACGGTATTCCTTACAATTTGAACTCAGGAGATATCCCAATCGCAACAAGGTTTTGCGACAGAACACTTGGCTCTCAGGACCAAAACATCTTAAGACTGAATAGTCCTCATTTTCCTGGGAATCCCTCGAGAAAGAATAAATCCAAGGCTTCAACCTTTCACGGCATCGATATGTACGGACACTACGATGACCGTAGGCGAACTCTATTTCTCAATTTCTAACATGGAAAGCTTCTTGAATATATGCAGTTTCACCACTTCATTTTAAAGCAGCGGAGACAGCGGAGACCAACATCGTCCAACATCTGATATCACGTGTGTTTGGATGTAGTGTTAGTACGTATGATATAGTTACCTTTTTACGAAGCCTTAGTATTTCCTCCTCTTCTGGAATGGTGAAGTGGAGGCAGCCACTGTGTGAGCTTCGATGGGAAATACGCACAGAGCAGCTTTCCCCTCAGTAGTGGCAGAGCACGACTCAGTAGGAAACGGAGATAGCCTTGCTTCCAAGGTTAGGCGCTCTCTGCCTGCGGGCCTTACGCAGCAGATCTTTTTTCATTCGTTCTATAGACCTATCTCCTATAGGCGGTCCGTACTCGTGACGTGAATAGTCAAAACCATCGATAAAAAAAGGATTAGCTCGATCGAGTTGCATTTTCGTCCTGGGAACGAAGACGACCTCGAACTTTCCGGCGGGAAATGAGGAGAATCCGAAGGACGATTCGAGAGAAAACGAGGTTGCCCCGTAAGGACCATCGGCAAGACTTGAAGAAAAAAATCATCTGTTTACTTTCGGGGAATGCAACAGTCCTGTAAATAAAGTCGCTGCAGGACGGATGATTTATTTATTCGTCTGTCTGGCTCCATGCTGGAGGATGGAAAGCACGAAAACAGGTGGACAATATTAAATATTGATACTTTCCATCCCATAAAATATTAATGGACGCTGAATCTGCATAAGGAATTCAAATTTGCATAATGAGTCTACATCCAATGCAAGAAGCAGGAAGGATTCAAAACTTTTCCCCCTCAATTTGCCTCTTCCTCAAAAATTTTCTCTGATTTAGCTTTATTATTCGTCCTCCTGTTTCATGCTCAAGTTCCTCCTGTTTCTTAGTCATTTTCCTCCAGTTTCGCATCTCGCCGAGTCATTGGAGAAACAAGTGGAAAGCTTTCGCGCGAGTGTAAGGAATAATGATGCCAAAAGACATTCCTTTCCATGAATCTCTGCATCTGGATGAACTCATCGTAACGAGAAGGGTCGCTATTTATTATTATTATTATTATTATTATTATTATTATTATTATCATTATCATTATCATTATCATTATTATTATTATTATTATTATTATTATTATTATTATTACTATTATTATTATTATGAGGCTGTTATTGGGAGGTTAGAGGAGATTTGTTGACGTGACAGGTTACGTGGAAGGCGTCGCTTGGAGGGACGGAGCATCTGGTGGGCTTGTCGCTCGTGAGACAACTCCGAATCGTGGTCGTCACATGCAAATTCGGTGCTTCCGTGATTTTGGCTCGATGAAGCAGTGTTATTCGGGGAAACACGGTCACTGGGGTCTGCAGTCACATCCACGAGAGAGGGTCTCGCCTTCCACAAGAAGCCCCTTCCACATCTTCGGATTCCTCCAAAGCTGCCGGGGGCGAATCCTGTTCGACCATTCCAGCCTGCATTTCCTCCCTGATGCCCGACTGGGACGAGTCGAGTGTTGCGCTTGGAATATTGGAGGGCTGCTAGCGGATTTTGGGCTCCCGACTCGATATGGGACTCTTGTGGTCCCACGGTGCCGTTCCGTATTCTTCTGCCACTGAACAATGCTCGAGCCAACCGACCATTCGTTGCTATTGTTGTCCTCCATCCAGGTCCGGAGCTTGTGTTTGATGACTCCGTTGGCCCTGTCCGTTGGCCCTTTCCGTTGGCCCTCTCTGCTGATCCCTGGCGTTGAGGTTGTCTGTGTCTAGATGCTTGGCTTTTCTTTATAAAGGGTTCATCCCCCGCCAAGGTTAACCCCTTTCATCCTGAATACCGGTTTTCATTGCCACTGGCACTGTCTGACCTTCTTTCTTCCTTTCCTTTTGTGTAGCCCTGATTCTCTTCACTTCTTTCATTCGAGAGGAGATCGAACGGTTGCGCGTGTGCTAATCGTTTTCGTGCTGTTGGTTTCCATATCTGCGTTTCTTTCTATGCTAGCAATAGAATTATAATTAATTTGGTCTCAATATTTCTAGTGGGATAATATGAAAGGTCGCCTTACTGTCTAAAGGAAAGGGTACATCTCGTTGATTCGAATAACTTCCTCCTCGGAACTCCACTTGCTTATTGCGTGAAAGAAGCAAGAGAAATGCGCCCAATAGGCACCTTTTTTGCTCATTTCATGAAATACGCAATCTTGCTATTCTTTGCGCGCATTCGGCAAAAACTTGCGCAATGAGCAGTTGCACGAATCACGCATAACATATATATAAAGCTCTTCACCAGCCAGCCAAGCGACCTCGGAATACTCCGAGAGGTGTTTACCCATTGTTCAACTGTGTGTCGAAGCCAAATTTGGCTCTTGACATGATGCATACGAGGCATGCCGCTGTCTCCTGTTTGCCGGCTGTGTATGACTTGCATACATCTCAAGCAGCATGTTTATGTTAACTTTACGTCAACTGAATGTACATTTTTTGTCCATTTTATATCTTCGTTATTCAAACCATCAAGATAATGTCAACATGTTTGCAGAAATGTCACCTCTGTAATAGGTAAACGTAACATAAAATTAGCGTGAATTTGACATTCCCGTTTACATCCCCAACACCATGTTTACATTTATTTTACGTAAAGTTGATGTTAATTTCCCCTTGAAATTCCTTTTTTTTAACGAGCTCATTCGTACTTTTGAAGGGAATTATGACAACGTAGTGGAAGATACTCGAGTTCCTCAATGCATTAGTTGAAGCAGGTTAAGCAGCCCAAGGAGACTTCTGTTAATCGTGAAGGTACCATGGTCATATTGGGCCTTGAATGGAATGAGGTGAACGGCCACAGTGTACCTTCGATAGCAGAGACTGCGTTTGGCTCCCCTTCAAGGGCTGCAGATCGGGGTGTGATAAAAGGGAGGAAAACCCAAGAACGTAGCCTGACATGAAATAAGCAGGAAAAGAGCAACATAAGTGATGAATGGGGCTGGAATCCTGTGCAGAAAGTAAAGGAATCCAAGGATGGCAATCGAGGAAAGTATGTCACAATGAAGTTCTCTCATCCAGACTGAGAAAGGCGGCAAGGCCCTGGTAGGGGAGGTCAACAATCACCTCCAAATATAGGAGCTTGCTTTAAGCATTCAAGACAATGAAGTCATGCCGCACGTTAGCATTTGATGTTGGCAGAATGTGGACTTCCAACGTTGACCCGACGTGGGGTTTGCTATTGGACCAAAATTGAGCAGTGGGATGGCCAACGTTGGTTCACAAAGTGGGGCCTACATCGCAGATGTCAAATTCCAACAGATCCCTATCGCTTGTGAACTCTATGAAGTATTTTGATTCCTCTTAGAAGACTTTTCAGTTTCTCTTCATTTAAATTTGCTTTCGTTTGCAGTAGTGGACTCGAGACTGTCATGCCACGTCTGTCGTCCGACCGTCAAGAAAGACATGGCGGACCGTACCCGAGCCACGCAGATCAACGAAATGATCACAGAAGCGTTTGGGAATGCCTCCATCTCCAATTGCAGCAACGTCAGGGTCAAGCCGGGCTCGAGCGTGGTCCAGATGATTTGCCCCTTCTCAGCGAGCCTCTGCGTCAAGGAGGAAAACGGTGGGTCCTCGTTCGCGCCTTCGCTATTTCCCATTCTACAGCATAGGGGGACGTGCACGCGTTTGTACGAGTGACTTGGGTTCATCGGCGTCGAGATGATAAGGTCTTTATTTGACATTGCATCGTGATATGAATGTGAACATTATGGCGGCACATTACTTGTTCATCAGGGGAAGACCAAGATAAAACCCTCGCCCTATCTCGATGCAAAAAATAAATCATACAAAGGAAAAAGAACAAACAATCGAGGACAATCCATGCATGTACATGATGCAAACATCACAAAATTTGCCGTCTTCATCCTTTGCAAAGTAAGTGCCTTCTATATAAGTGTCACTCATCAAGACTCATCCTTGATTCTCATACATTGGAGTGAGAGGCAATTCTTTTCTCGGCCCTTGAGGGAAGGGTGCACGGTGTAAACCTTTCATTCAACGAACTCGCTATCTTGAAAAGTATTTTCAGAAAAAAAAAACTGAAAGATCCTGTTCGGCTGAGTCGGACATTTATCGCGCAGCTGGTTCGCTCTTAACGATCTAGCTAATCAAGAATTTGTTCAATTTTGTAGTTTTTGCGTTCCTTTTAAGCATAAGTGGAAAGAAGCAGTTCAACTTGGGATACACAATTTCTACCCTCATATATGACTCATACGCTAGGACGAGTCATATATACTCGTCATATATGACTCGTCCTATGACTACATATATGACTCATACGTTTTGTCTAGTTTCGGCGAACGACAGGCGTTAGAGGACGATTCTTGGAAGGGAGAGGAAGCCATGCGTGAATAGTTAGTCCATTCTTGTACTGTTTCACATGGATCGTGTAATTTGTTCGCAGATTATTGGACGGCAAGATACTGTGGAGAAAAAGTCCCGTCGGAGAAGGAAGAATATTGCGACTTAAAACAAAATGTGACCAAGTGCGTATGCGCCGACGAAAACTGCAACCCGGCCTCCCTCTCGCGCATCAGTCCATTCCTGCTACCTTTTGCCTCCCTCTCCTGGATGGCGACCCGATTCCTGGATGTGTGAAGTGGAGTCTCCGGCCACGTGGAATGCACGTGCATCCAACGCGGGAATCGACACCTTTCTTTGAACGACTGTATTACGTAGTCCGTTGATTTTCTATGTGATATTTTTTGTGGTTCTTTTATCAACGAGCAAGAAAATCTCCTGCTCGGTTACCTCATTCATGTGACTAAGGGATGAAAAAGCAAGCAGGACGCCATCGGGTATATTTCATTAACTGATTTAGGAATGTGAAAACCTATTAAGATTTTATCTCCATTAATGCACATAATAATTATACATCCTTATATTTCTATTTCTTCCCCAGATGAAACTCTTCTCTTTTTCCTCTTACTTGTTTTTGCAGCGCATATTTCAGAATTTTCCGATTACATGTCCCCCCTAAACTCTTGGGCAATAAATAGGCTGAGGTCACATTCGATTTATCACATAATCTGTCTGCTTCCAAGTCATGGGAATTCACAGTAGAGGAATTATCGGGAAATTCATCGCCCGTATGACAGAATAAATCGCGCATACGCAGGAGTTAGAGAAAGAAGGAACTTCAACAAAACCTAAATTGTCTCAAAAAGTCTCCCACAAGAGCAGAACTTCACTAGATAAACCACCTATTATGACTGGGAGGCTTCGAACATGTCTGTTATAATAGAAAAGGAGGGAAATTTGTGGAACCTTCTAAGAAACGCTCTCATAAATCAAGGGCTAGTCAAGAGCCTGAAACGGGCAAAGAACATGGACAGAGATGGGTCAAGGACATGTCGAGTTGTGCGTGCTCATGGGATTCAAGAGGGGACAAGGTGCTGTGTCAAAAAAAGTTTTCTTCTTCGTAAATTTTTAATAGTGAATTTTAAATAGAATTTAATTTCTTTGTTGCATAATTGGTTTCTGCAGGGTGAAAATGTAAACAAGATTATTTTCTCACGTAGAGACTGGAAATAAATCCAGTCAGTGACTCACTACTTGACTGCTGAGAGGAGAAAAGCCCAGGAGTAACCTAAAATATTGGCGACCTAAATTTTTACTGAATATATATTATTAACTTCAGCGTTAATTCTGGCCCTACGTTTAAGAGCAAAGTATTGGCCTTTTGGTGGAGTTTCGTGAGAGGCCGTGGCATTAGCGCTTGCATTAGGTTGATATATGACTTGATACAAATTTGTAACGAAAAAAAAGTTCAAGGGAATTTTAATAGTTCTAATCTGTTTTTAAAATTTCTCCGAATCCATTGATTAGAGTTTCACAAAAAAGTAAAGGGAATTTTTAAAGAACTCACTAAATGGATTTACGTCTCACGTTCTTTTCCCGCAGGGCGAGGTTGTCGCCTAGATTGCTCTTTGTCTTTTTACTGGCTCTTGCTTTGGGCCGAAACGATGGCGAGGATGATTGGGTCTAACCGAGAAATTGGAGTTTAAAAAGCTAAGGAGCCGGCTTGCAGCCCGACGAGAGGAAAATCAGTCTCAAGGAAAAATATCGAAAACCTGAATTTGTCCTGACTCCAGCGCCATCAGTGGGGAAAATGGCAACAGCTAGAAAACGGACAACTGGTGGAGATGGAATAAATTTTCCCCCAGGACAACCAAACTCACAAATCAGAAGAATCTGAGGATCTTCAATGGAAGAAGGACCCCAAAATCTTACAGACCAAAAATTGTACGAAGTTGGAGGATAATTGAAGGTAATCTTTGAAGATAATTTCAGAATGAGCAAAAATCACCCAATCTACGTACGATGTCTGATCAAGAAGTTCCAGTACTTTTATTCGTAAACTTTATATTTAATAAGTACATTAAAATAAATATGTTGTCCCCTTCAAAGTATTCCCCCCTCGATGCGATGCACTTATCCCAACGCTCTTGCACCTTCTGGAACCAGTGCTGGAAATCTTGGAGAGGAAATCTTTTAAGCTGGCTCCTCGCATTTTCCTTGATGCTTGCAATGTCTGCAAATCTTTTTCCTCTCAGGTGAAATTTAAACTTGGAGAACAGGAAAAAGTTACATGGAGCCAGTCCAGTGAATAGGGAGCGTGGGACAACACAGAAATTTTTTTTTAGCCAAAAAATCTGGAATTGTGGAGCAGTGTGGACTGGAGCATTCTCTTGATGCAAAGAACCAGGCTTCATTTTGGAAAAGTTGGGGCAGTTTTCACCTAATTGTATTCTCTCAGACGGGTCAAAACATCTCTGTAGTAAGCCTGCCTAACTGTCTGGCCTTGTGGGACAAACTCATGACGCATCAGGATCATGATGCATCAGGATCATGACGTCATATGGATATCCTGATGTCGTATGGAGGTGAGAGTTGTCTCATATCGATAGTCACGGTCTGTAGGCTTTCACGAAAAACGGCGTTACTAATTTATTAATTAAAAAGTTAATTTGGGTTTTCCTTATGTCTTGAATATGTGGATAAGGAATGATGAAGTGTCCGCGTTTATTGATTCCTATAATGAGACTAGGTGAGACATACGGCAAGGTACTAAACAATCCTGCAAGGGACGATTCCAGGGAAAGAACTTCAAGGTGTTCACTTCAATACGAGCGATGAGGGAGCACCTGGTGAGTAAAAAGAGAGTAAATTCGAAAAGCTCACGGTGTGCTCACTTTTCACTCCCCAAACGCTCCGAATTTTCTAAGAGGGGCGCACCTCTTCGGGAAACAGTTTTTCAAATAATTCTCTTTGCTTCAATCAAACGGAGACACATGGTAAGCTGAAACTCGGCAAGAACGTGACTGATGACGCACTGATCTTAGGGAAAATGTCACATCTCCAAATTATTTGAATTTTTGGGGGATATTTTTTTGGGGACGTTACGTTTTCAAATAATTTTTCAGATCCTAGCGAATCAGAAATAGAAAAGTAGCAGCTGGCGGACGCAAAACGGACGTGATGTTGATTAAAGGAAAAATTCAAATTTAGTCGTGCGTCTCCTCAGAGCACAGCTTTTGGGTGGGTCGCTTTTTCCAAATACATTTTTTTTTTTTTCCTCCCGTAAAAAGGGTAAATGTATGAGGCTGAAACCGGGTGGCATGGAGTTTCCCTGAGTCGAAATTTCAGAAGAGATGCAATTCTCGTCAAGACCCATCGGGGCAATTTTTTTTCAGTCCCATTTTCATGAATTTTTTTTGATCCACCGAAACAGAGAGAACTTAAACTTCCCTCAGAAGTACCTGTTTGATTGCTGAGTGCAAGAAAAATGCAACATTTGACATATGAACCTGAGCGTAGATTATAGGGGGGGAAGTATTTCAAAATGTATTCTCCTCCCTTCCAAAAAGGGAGACAATAAAAGATTTCAAGTTAGGCACAGTAGAAATAATAGAAGTAATGATTTTGATTTAAAAAAATCAAGACTTTCGTTCCCATATGTCACGTATTTCAATTGGGACGTACTTTAAATACGTGTTTCCCATTTCGCAAAAAGTAAATGAGATAATCACTAACCAAGGTAGCGGAGCGCCGAAGGCGCGACCATAGCATATAATATGCTTGGGCCTCCGTGTCTATGTCCGCAAGTGCACATGCGCAAGTGCCTGCCTCCTTCATGCCTGCCTCCTTCATGCCTGCCTCTCTTCGGCTCGCACTTTTGTTCCCCGGCCGTTGCGACAGTCGGATCTATTTTCGATAACGTAATAGCCCCGGGGAGAGGGGGGAGGGGGGGGAGAGTTCAGATGGCATAAGAGAAAGAAAAAAATGACGGAACAAGCGGGAATCGAAGACCAACTGCTTGCGGATCAAGTATGCCTCCATTACACCACCGAACCCAGCCTACTACACTTCTCCATGCCCTCCCCAACACTTCCACGGGAGCGAAAGGCATTCTACGCCCGCCGTCTCCCACCCGGGTGTTCGCACCTCCGATACTGAATTTTTTCGCAGGGACGTGTAAAAGTCCCCGCGTATCACACTTGGCCTCCCCTTTCATACCTTGAGGAAGGATTACTTCCTCGCCGCGGATGAGATCTCCGCCCATACATCTCTCGGGATCCGGAAAAGTCGCATCGTAGGATTTAACACCACTTCCGCGTATTTCCCCCACAGGCAATGTCGACGTTGAAGGCAAGTCCGTGCCGGTTCGCGAGATGCACTGCGCATGCGCCGATCAAGTGGCACGGGGGGGGATCGATTCGCTTGCGCCGTCTCATTGGCTGAGGTATTCCGTGAATCACGAACGCGTATCGCAGCCCTTTTCCCCATCTCTTCAAAGTGGTTATAGCCGAGGTCAGATAGGTACCTTCCGGTACTTCTACAGTACAGCGCAGTACTTACAGAGCGATTGCAGTCAGAGATGCCATCGATCCATCCGGGAATTTTTTCCCCGCGATCCTCGAGAGTCTTTTTTAGGAATATTTTTCGCAGTTGCGCGATGGGCTCCCACGGAGACCAGATCAATATGAGAATTTTGTTTTCTCCGTTCCCCATGCCAGAAGGACCGAATATCTCATTGGGGTATTTCTCATCTCCCTCTTTCGTCGAATGGATCCAGGAATTCGAGTACCTTCCCCGGGTGCTGTCTTCGGGGAAAATATTAAGTACCGTTCCAGAAGTACTGGGGACGCGTGCCTGTTGCATATATGAGGGAAATTCCCTTTGTCGGCGATTCGGTGCCATCTCGCATCCGGATAAGGAAACCTTTGTTCCGATGTCTCGCCAGATGTCTCGCTCGATTCATGTTTGCCATGCATGGAATCGTCGGCGTAAGCACCCTGTCGACATCGTCAGCATATTTGTCGACGCTGAGTCGGCGTTGTCGTGCAGACTGGGAATGTGGTTCGATTCTTCGGGCTGTAAGTATTTTTCGATGTGTTCTTAAGTTTAATTCCGTGGCGTCGTTGGCGGAAGAACGGTGGTCCTCGTCGTCTCGAGAGGAATTTTTTGTGTGTCGGGATTTTTTGGCTCTCTGGAATGGCAGGGTCGAAGTTGGTTGACAATTTTGCGAGCAAAAATTTTGCGAGCAAAAATTTAGCGAGTGAAAATTTAGCGAGTGAAAATTTAGCGAGATGTTTTTGCTTGAAATTATCTTGCGTGGAAATTCCGCTTTGGGGAGCTGTAGCTTTCCGTATCTGAGCGTTTACGCGAAGGAGACGATACTCTCGGAAATTACGACGGAAGGACAAGGTTCAGGCGTGAAGAGGATAGTGGGAAGTGGGACTTATCTGTCATTCCTGTTATCGGGCGGACTCGGAGGTCCTTGCAGGCGCGGGCCGTGGCGGAGAGGAGTTGCGTTGGGTGCTGCGTTGGACGGAGCGGGAGGTCTCTGTTGCTGAGATGGAGGAACGGGAGGCTCTAAGAAAGGTGAGTGGTGGTGCGCGTTGGGGTGTCGCGGCTGAGGCCGAATGCAGCGGGGCGGTTCTAACTTCTATTCGTGGCGTTGGGGGAGGAGGAGGGGGTGAGGATGGGGAAGTGGGGAGGGGGGAGGGGGGAGGGGGGGAGGGTCGGTGAGGTGCTTGGGGATTCCAGTTTCTTCTCGGTCGCGGTCTTCGGCAGCGAGAGGAGGACTCTGTAGATTGAGGGTACTCGTTTTCTTCCAACTTTTCAATTTGGATTAATGGCTGGTTATACGGAAATTCCACCGTTATAATTTTTTTTTCAGGATTAGCGCGCTTAGGCGAGCACAACTTGAACGGTGGCACGAACGGTGTACCACATCATAAATGAAGAGCAAGTAACGATAACTTTCATTCATGTGCGTTTCTCTGTAACTAAATTCATTTAAACGTCAATTGAGTAGATTTTAACAGCAATAGTTTCGAGTAAAAGTTTTTGTTGAAATGTATCATTTTTTGTCTGCTGCCTCCCCGCCGACATTGAGAAAAGTTGCACCTCGAAAATGCCGTCCGAGAAGTGATTCTCCTCATCGATCCCGCTTGGATCATGTAACATGTCGGCAGAGTTGTGTCGTATATCGAGTCGACGTCATCGTAGCACCTCTTCTTCCCGTTATCTCCCTCGGGAGACGACTGGAAATTAAGTCTTCTCTGTTGGCGGAATGTCCTCCGCCATTTCATGCGACCGACGGGAATGACGACGAATGGTTTCCACGCGCAGTTTCGCGAGCGATTCGTCGATGCCGACATCCCCGAGGAGATCCGCCACGACGTCTTCCTCTTCAAGTTCCTCAAAGGTGAGACGGTTTCTTGGTAGTTCAATACCTCGAGCGAAAGGGAGGCATTCGCGCTAAAATCCTATTCTGCCAGTAAAATTGCCGAGGGTGTGAATGTATCGCGGCCCCGATTACAGTTCTCACTGGGTCTGCGCTGGCATCGGTGGGGCAGATGGGTCACCGGGGCAGGTGGGGCAGGTGGGGCAGGTTGGGCAGGTGGGGCAGGTGGGGCAGGTGGGGCAGGTGGGGCAGGTGGGGCAGGTGGGGCAGGTGGGGCAGGTGGGGCAGGTGGGGGAGGTGGGGCAGGTGATATAACGTTTATGGTTACTGATAGTGATCCTCTTCAAATGTTGAGTGGCTTATGTCATTCGCCGATGCAGTGGGGCAGGTGGGGCAGGTGGGGCAGGTGGGGCAGGTGGGGCAGGTGGGGCAGGTGGGTGAGATATGCTTCCAACAAGACAGCCCGGATTAATCTTAGAATCTTTCCATTTGCGCGCTTTGTGAGCCATTCATGATGAAAAATACGTGGTGCGATCTTCGAGGCTCTTCGGCTCTTCGAATTTTTCAGCTTTAAGTATTCTGTTTGTGGAAAACGGAAGAGAATTTCGTTCGTATCTCTCCGCTTTGGCATGGCGTCCCTCCTGCCAAGAGATACGGAAGAGCCACTCGATCGACTGCGACGAAAACTCCGATACCGAAGCATCGATGGAGCTCGGGGACTCCCGCCTCGAGATGGCATTTCCGCTCCGAGAGGTGCGATGAACCTGGGAACCGATGAACCTGGGAATTGCACTGGAAATATCAATTCCTACGGGCTTTAATTTTTCTGAGCAGTAATTCGGAAAATGGTTACCGCTCCGTCCGTTTGTCATTTCTTGGAGGACAAAAATATGCGTCGCACGACCTTCCAAGAATTGCGCATGATGAAACACGATTGCGCATGATGAAACATATTGAAGAATCCCCATTCTCTTCGTCCCTTGTAGCCCGAAAACGCTACAACTCCCGTTAATTTGCCTGGATTAAACGCCGTCCATCCTCCCGAAACATTTTCCCTTTAAATCCGCGATGAGCCGGCCATTTAAATTGATCCGTCCTCTTTTTTTCCAGCGAGGAATTTCGACCTGGATCGGGCCGAGAAAATGTTTCGAGCCGTGAGTCTTTTCCTTTCCTTTTTGCCAGGCCATTTAATCGGGTTCATTACAGGACTATCAAATATTTAATGGATTTAAATGGTCGTAATGGAACGATGCATTCGTTTGTTCCTGGGTCGCGGGAAACTCTTCTGAATTTGCATATTTTTCGAATCTTTCGAAGTCCATTAGGACACGAAATCGATCGCATTCGAATGACGGGGATGTCAATCGATGATGTCACGGGGATGTCAATCGATGATGTCACGGGGTCATTGCATGTAGCACCTGGAATGGAGGAAGAAGTGGCGGCCGGAGTACCTGCGAGACGAGTGGAAGGTCCCCGAAGTACTGCAGAAGTACGCGGTGTCCGGGTTCATCGGCTACGACTTCCAAGGATCCCCAGGCAAGGACCACGCCGGTTTTGGGCCGTCACGTTACCCTTTCCATAACCGCTTCGTAACGTTACGGTTTTCGTCCGGATCTGGATAAAGCTGAAATCGATTGGGTAACGTCGAAGGTCGATGAGACTTCTCTACGCGAATAGTCTGAAAGTTCGGGCGAGTTGCAAGAAACGCAGCCAAGAAAAAGAGAAGCTCAAACTTTGAAGCAGAATTTGGAAATGCGAATGGAATCCGGCAGGGCTGAGGCGACATCGCAGACAGGCGCGAACGGTGGAGGCTCTGCCGCATGTCCGCGGCGTTAGGGTGGAGGCATTGGCGTTGATAATGTATTCGCGATGGTCAGCACCCTGCGACAATCAGAAACAGGACGTCCCCGTGACATTCCATGTGGATCTCACTAGGTCAGATGACATCCCATGGGGATATCACTAGGTCAGATGACATTCCATGTAAGTCCCTATGAAATGTCCCGAGGATGTCCCTGAAACATCCAGAGGACATTTCAGTGAGGAATACCGACGTATTGAAGCCCCTCGTGTTTCCCTTGGATGTCCGCCGCGGGACTTCTATGGGTTGATCCCACGGGATGATCCCCTGCTCCTTGGGTATGGGCAGCGGGAGGCTGTCCATCCCTGGTCCGGACGTAGCTGTACCTCTTGCAAAGGTGATAATGGTGAAATGATAAGGAAAACTTTAATTTCTCAGCTGTCTGCTGGAGAAAATCGCGGATTTTCCTTTTTCTCACTGCTAGGTTCACAATTTTTAAGTCGTGCCTCCCGGTCAATATTACCCACATGTTCATCGTAGGGAAAAGCCTGAACGCGAATTTCTTTCTCTTCCGACACTGCCGGACCATAATCTGGCAAAATACCATAATCTGGCATCAAGGATAATTATACCATTAAGCTTGCTCCTTACCTGGCTGTGTGGGAGGGTTCGCATCGTCCCACAACCCATATTTATGCCGTTCGTGAGTAAAAGGAGAAAAGTATTGAAAATATTCGACTCATCGCTTGGGGCCTATTTGGACATTTTGGCAATTTTATCATATTTCAGCAATTATTATATGATGCTTTCTCATTGTGCCTCTAACCCCCCCCCCCCCGATGCATTGATACACTATCAATAGTTTAGGTCAATGTATTGATGTTTCGAAACTGCTATCCTGACAGCCCTACTAATAACAATCCACAAGTACCAACTAAGAGCAGTAACGTTGGACATAAATTATATTAATATGCAAGTAGACACAAGACATCAAAATGAAGTGAAGCACATGTAATGCAAGGCTGTTGATTTGAAGGCTAGGTAAGCAGTTGAGTTAACATCCCTTTGATTGTGTCTTCACTACACCCATCACAATTAAAAACTTCTCTAAAGGGACCTTGGCTCATGTACTTATGCCTTTGGTTTCATTATTCTATTCATACCACTGATTGAAAGCAGGAAGAGCCATGAAATGGGCCATGAATTCACATTAGACTTTGTCTGATCTCAAGATTAAAGAATATAACAAAAGGAACTTAAATTAAGAAAGTTAAATTATTTCACATGACATTGTGTGAAATCTGCCAAAAGAATACATTAGTCCTATTGTTATAAAACCTAATTCCACAACGTTTTATAGTTTACAAAATTAGGGGTGAAGCGAAACATGTATATAACACTCCCATTCTCATCTCTACTAAATATTTGGCACCTTAATTCCTCTCCTCTGAATTTCAAGTATGAATTTGGAGTCAGCTGTCTTCTCATAAAGTTTCTTCATCACAGGTATAAGCTTCTGGAATAAACTAGCTAATAAAATATAGAATACTTAGACCCACAAAGATATAGAAAGAGTTTCTATAGGGACATTGCAAAATCTATTAAAATTTACACCCTGTATTCCTAACTCATGAGAACAGAATAGACTAGAATAAAAAATTGCTGGGAGTATGAGCTGCAGGAACCTTATCAATTTTGTTGCCAACAAGCATTTTGACAACATCTGTCCTCGTGGAATATGTCTCCAGCTCATTAAGCCATGCTTCCAGACGGGAGAAAGTGTTTCTTGATGTAACATCAGAGCTGCAGGAACCTTATCAATTTTGTTGCCAACAAGCATTTTGACAACATCTGTCCTCGTGGAATATGTCTCCAGCTCATTAAGCCTACGAAGGTCTGCCCTCTTTCACAAAGAACTACATTGTAGTATTTGGTCTTAACGAGGAACACGTGGAGCCATCATTGAACCTCTGTCCCAGGCTTTGGAGAGGTATGGTCGACACAGGACAGTTGTTGTAAGCAAACATGTAATGACATTAGACACAGAATAAGTTAGAGCTAGGTCTCCATCCCAATTTACAGAATTGGTGCTACAGGTTAACTCTTTCCATCGCAAATTAATATGGAAGCGGTCAGAGAAGCACTGAACTCAAACCAAAACTTGCTAGTAACTGAGGCTCTGTGCTGTACACCAGACTGGATAATAATTCCTTCTATTGTTCTAATTCTTTCTATTGTACTAGTATTTACCCTCAAATCTTTGCTGCACATGATGCAACAAGCTTTGAATGAATTTCAAATAATGTCTCCAAATGGAGAGGCTACTATGGAAAGGGTTAAACTGTTTTTAACAGTTTTACTATGGAAAGGGTTGTATAGGTTTTATTTTCTCTTTGTTCATGACTGACTTCCAATTAAATGGAATGGCTTTGACTGAAGAATCATAGCATGCAGTCATGATTCTCCAGTATGGCATTAGACTCAGATCATTGAGAGGGTCTCATCAATTGTATGCCTAAAACAGATCTTATCCAAAAGAGGTAACCTCCTGGTTTTCCAGATATAAAATTGCAATTAATTGGAAAACAAAAATAAGGTAAGGGAGACATGAAATTCATTTACCTTCCTATCTCAGGTAGGGTGACCTCCCTTTCTTGATTGTGCCATTATGGCCATGAAGTTTTCATGTGGGAATATTCATTAAAATTACCCTGATCACCCTAGTCTCAGACATCACAAGCATTGAGATGCATCAACAACAATGACCAATCATATAAGATTTAGAATCCATTTCAGAAAGGAAGCCTACTGAGAACAAAACAAGTAAGGTTTGGATTGGTGCAATGAGCGATTGATATGGAAGAGCTCAAGAAGGCTTCATATGCCCCTATAAGGTGAAACAAAGTAAAATCATACATCTTGATTCTTGCTAAAACATGTTACAGTAACAAAAAACCAGTAATCCAAAAACAAAAATTTCAGTCTGCATGCAGAATCAAGAGAGAGATTCCTTACCCATATTGCAAGGCGAACTGCATTTCCATCTAAGTTCAAAGTTTTTGTCTTGAAATCAACACCAATTGTTGATGGGAGGTTGGGGTCAAACTTGTCATCAGTAAACCTGAGAAGGAGACTGCAAAAAAGGCATTCAGAGGCATTAATGTGATTGAAATCATGGTATGTCAGCCTATAAGTGCCATTTCATGGTTCCATCAAGGCAGAAGTTGCCAGAGACAAGTACAAGTAGTAATTTCCTTACAATATCCTTCCATCACAAAGTCTAAGTAAAATGTTTTCAATGTGGGTAATTTACTGTGTCTTACAACTTCTATGCCATCTCAATGTTCCTCGAAGGCAATAAGGACCACTGAAGGCCACAGGCACTGGAAGGCAGAAAGATGGAAGTGACTCCGAAACATACCTAGATTTTCCAACATTGCTTTCTCCAATGATTAGTATTTTCAATGTAGTTAGAATTTCCACGTCTCCAGACATGTTTTCGTTGTTCTGCACAACACCTTAGAGGAAAGATATACGGAGTAAAAGCAAGAGTATGGATATTTTACTGGTGGGAGTAGCTTGCTGATAACTTAATTTTAGACTAAGTGCTGAATTCAATTCGAAAATGATAGCCTACGAACTCATTCCAAATACAGTCCATATCTATGGGCAAAGAATCCAGCTTAGTAACGTAGACCTCTAGTACCAAACGATATAGCAAGTTCGGACGACTACTTGTAGGCTACGGCCAAATGCCTTGGCCTATATGCTAGCCCAAGACAAACGTCAAGGCCTACACCATATTTGGTATAATATGTAACCCTGAAGGGGCGAGTACGTCAACGTGATTCTGATGCGCGATATAGAGTGGACAGATGCGCACGTAGCATGGCAACAAATCCACGCTGAACGTCTTGCTCGCCATTGACGTCGCAGTGTTGCCATGACAGCAGCTCCTCTTCGAACCGTCCATTTGAAAATCAGATTTTTGCCTCTCGTCATTTAGCGACAGTGGAAGCAAAAACTAAATGAAGAATAGAAGTTCTGACCTGATCCTGAACAAAACTATCAGGACTATCAGACATAGGCACAATCCTCTTGAATGGTTCAATGGAGACGAATTCCAAAGGTTTCCTCTTCCCGCGGACACCGTCGCCGACTTGTTTTTTTTTTTCAAGATTCAAGATTCAAAATAGTTAGTGACATCAAGAGGCGATTTCGCCCATTTCGATATCACGTGTATCTAAGGTATGGGTAAAAAAGTTACGGATACTTTTTCCCAGACCTAATA